GCCGAGCGTCCAACCAGACTATTTAGTGTACCGCGAGTGCAACTTCTCCGAACTCTTTACATTTGGCGCTCGCGATAATGTATCCTTTATTGTCGCAGAGGCAAACAAAGGCTCGAGAATTATGACGACTTGCATAATTCAATTGATGATTATCAATGGAAATTAATTATATCGCTCGCTATTCGGCTACGTTCGATCGCCGAACACTCGACGAGGAAAAACTTTGACGGGAGGGAAGGATGAAGGCGTGCTTTACGATTGCCAGCGGATTAATCTCGCGCGCGTTGAATTTATGAAAATGGAACGGGAACTCGACTGACAAGGGATCCTAGCCATTGACATTAAAACGACGCCCATAAATATCGAGACGCGCGCGCGACTGTTTACGCATAAGTTGAGAAATACTCATGTCTCTCCGACTTTTTCAAAAAAGGATGGGGGGAGTACCTTAACGCGAGCGAGCGAGCGAGAGAGACGCTTCACCGATTATGTATACACGTAAAAGTTTAGTATTACAAGCCGACATGATCACCGAGAGACATTTTGCATTGGGCTAAGTGAATGCGCAGTCGCGCGAAAACTTTTTGACGACGACACACTCGTCCACCTCACTCCACTCCCGTCCCGCCCCCTCCCTATCCGACAACAACCACACGCACGCACACGCACACGGTTGCAAATACCGATTCTATTTGTTTCCCATTCGATGTCTTGCTGTAGTACAAGTTCGTGCCCACCTTCGGCGATGTCTATAGCTGGCATAACCTCTACAAACGTCGAAGCACACCGACCGATCGATTTTAAGTGGGTTGCTACTTAGCCCCACATAACTTGTAATAATAATCGACGGACTGGTAATATCGTGCGCGCGTACACGTGCCCTTACCCCATCATCCAAATTTTATGCTTAACTCTCTGCTCTTCAATACCACTCCGCGCTTATCATATTAGTTCTAATTATTGCAGCGGGCGAGTATAATAACTTATATGTCTCGTATGGGTTGTATGTATGATTGATTTATAGAAAAGCAACGAAATTTTTCCGCTCGGGTAATAGTTATCATCGTTCTCGGCTGGAAATGATACATTTGCGTGTCGTCAATTACGGAATAAATTCTCGCCGACACGCGAAAGTTTACGCACAAGATATCCGAAAGCATTTCCGCATTTAGATCTTACAGCCGAATAGAAATCGAACTTGATGAATTGTGTAGAGCGAGACTCCTGAATTACACCGTCGTACAGCCTTCTACTACATCGATGTCGAGTTCAATTAACAACAACAACAACAATAACAACAACAACACTGGCAAAATACAAATCATATCTATAACTCGGTATTAACATTTACATTAATTTGCAAAACAGAAGGCACTTGAGGTTTCTCTTCATATTTATGCAATTTTGTAAAGCTAACAAAGTTCAATATAAAGATTTTCAATTTGAATAGTTAATTTAGCTCTGTACTTTACGCAGAGAGAGAGAGAGAGAGAGAGAGAGAGAGAGAGAGAGAGACGCTTTCCGAGAGTTTTACGTAAGGTCGAGCAGAGGAGTTTGAATATGCCAATGAGCAATTTGTCATCGCTCGTAGATGGACTTTGGACGCGACAAACCGAGTCTCTATTCTATATTTAACGATTCCCAATTGCATATGATTATTATTCCTCTGAGGCTCAACGTCGAATAGCTATTCGCAATTTTCTCGCCGACTATCGATTATAAACAATACTAAGCGCCCATCGTCTACCCTTGCTTAACGAAAGCGAAAATACAGAAAACAAAAACAGAAAGAAAAAAAAAACAAAAACACAAAAAAAACAAAAGACGTCAAAAAACGTGGTTGGCAAGCGCGAAGTAAAACAATGACACGTAATCCTCATTAGAATAACAAAGATGTTGCAGTGCGCATTTTACTTGTGTAGCGCAGGCATTATCGACAACCTTTTCCTTTATCCGTAACCTAAACGTACTCGCGAGCAGGAAAATTCTTGGCTAAACCATGGAGCCGCACAAAGAGTGAGCTTTCACCGCATGATATACGCGCAAGAGATAGACAGAGAGAAAGAGATAGACAGAGAGAGAGAGAGAGAGAATATAAATGAAAAATGAAAAATAAGAGTTGCAGCGGGAAAAGCCCGCGCGCCGGCAAAGTTTCGACTGAAAGCTCTCCTCCGCCGGCATTCTATCTCTCGTTTACATCAGCCCTGGATGCGAAATGGTAACCCCCCTTGTGAAAAATAGACTGCACACGTGCGCGAGATAGAGGATACCACCCTCGCATTAACCCGCCGTCGGCCACCCTCTCCCACTCCCGCCCGCCAACTCGCCAAACGCCCTTCATCGCACGTACAAAGACGCCGGTAGGACGAGGCGCGTCTCCCTTGGTCCCTTTTTCTCATATTGCGAGAGAGGGCCACGAGTTCGCCGTCGCCTATAACGATTGTTCCTCGCATACTTCACGTCGCCCCCGTACACTACCACCCCCCCCTCCATACACTGGCACCAAAGCGAAATAAGTTTGTTTTAGCGAGTGTTCGGGGATCGAGGCGCTCGACTTGTTCTTCGTGCCTCCGCACTCGACACTCGGCACTCGGCACTCGGCACTCGGCAACCTGCAACGATAATGAGTTTGCCCTTGCCCGCATTATCCGCGGAGTCGCCGAGTTTTATTCGACAGGATAGCTTACCGCGCCTATAAATTCGGCTCGGCTTGGCACCGTAAACGCGACTTTACATCGATCCCTATTAGCGCAATGCCGTCCTCGGGCGCTCTCCAGAACCACCGAGTCTTCGCATTTTAAAGGCATTTTCGACTTTTCTAACCAGTCCCATCTTCACTCACCTACTATTAATGGTATTTAATAGGGAATTATTGGAACCACGAGCCCACCTAGTAGTTGGCTGTTGGCTGTTGGTAAGCGCACGAGGTACCGAGGGACTATAACGAGGGAATAATTAGTCGGCGCTGATGCTGCACCGACAAACGGATTGTTCCCGTGATCCAACGGTTCTGCAATAACCAGTATTCTCTGGTTATCTCGTTGAAATTTAGCCGCGATCTTGGCTAATTCGCGATCTACCGCGACATTAAAGAGCATTAAAGACAAGACTAGCACTTTTACGGTCGTTGAAAAGCATATTTCCTGAATTTTAACGCTGCCTACGGGGTCACGCACAATTCTCACATTGCTTCCCATTACTTTTTAATTGCCCGAGGGATTTTATAGTTAATTCGGCATATCGCGGAGGCAATAAAATCGCGACATCAGAATTGCCGATAATGCATAATACGACGCTTAATCACGGCAATGCTCGCGTAATTACATCAATTCGTAATATGCGTTGATCTTGGTTATGTTGAATTTTACAAGCCAGCCACCCGCCAAGCCTCCACGTAATTTTATCCATGAAAAATGTTTTCAATATTAATCGTTGTAACATTAATCCAATGAAAGCCTTTTATCGTAGATCATAATAACTCCCCCAATGCATAACGCGCAAAAAAGGAAAAATATAATAATAATAAAAAAGAAATGGAATAAAGAGAAAAAAAATCGAAAAAGAATTTAATATAGAGCGAAGGTTAAATGAAACCGCGATTTGATGTGATTGATGAACCATTTCTCCGATATATCAAAGGACTATGCTCAGACCTGGTTATTGTACTGACTTTTAACGAGCGTCTAGAGGGGGAGGGGAGGGGAGGGGATGGGAGGATGAACCTTTACCGCACTTGGTACGCTGTAAATTCGTGTGCACATAAAAAAGACGTGCCTTACGCCTCCATTGCGAGTACATACCGATGCGCGAGGAGGTTTGCGCCTTAAAAGAAGACAATGCCCGTCGCACTTTGGAAAAAAAAAAAAAAAAAAAGTCAGAGCCGTGATTAGACGGGAGGGGGTGGGGTGGAGAATCTTTATCGCGCAAAGTTATTGGCGGCTATGCGACTACGAGTGAGCTCTTGAGAACCAGAAAACAATAATCGAAAACATTTCGTCGTAAGGAAAGAGGAATTAATGCAAAAAGAAAAGAAGAAAAAAAGAAAAAAAAAATAAATAAAAAACAATAACCGAAACAATAAATGAGAATATGAGGTGGTAAAGATAGCAAGTGCTTGATAGTTGCAACGGGCCATCATCGACTCATGCGTGTGGCTGTACCTTGTCGGCTGCGAGCCTAGCGACGAGCGCCTCCTTGAGGGGCCCGAGCCAATTGTGGGCCCCGACGAAGCGCTTGTTGAGGAGCTTCGTATGGGGGGCGACCTGCGCGTAAACGGTCTCGAGCTCGAGCACAACCATCGCGTCCCGGTCGTTGGCCACGGGCTCGTCCAGGTAACCTACGCCACGTATTCTCGTAGTTGCACTACGTCCGCTCCATCAACGTGGACAGATCAAGAATCACGCGCGTCTGTCTATCGCGTCCAGGTCAATCGCTCGTCATCTTCGTGGCAGATCGTACGGCTGGCTTCTCCTGGTCTACACGTAGACTCTACGCGACAACGCTCGATTCACAGCCACATCCGGGTGGTCGCATCGTCTTGATTCGCAATCACTCGCGGGCGCGCAGCTCGGGGCCGCTACGGGGGCTAAGAAGTACCGAGTGAGGTGGCGATGTAGATTACTCGGCAAGAACTGCCGCCGTACAGAGAGGCAGTCGAGAGCAGACTGGTGGTGGTGGCGGTGTGGCGGCGGCACGATGTCGGCGGTGGCGGCGGTGGCGGCCTCCCTCCTCTCCACGCCGCTCCTGGTTCGCGCGTTCGACTTGAGTGACGCATATAACCTTCTGCCTCGCTCTCTCCCAAGCCCGTAACACACGCTGCTTCTTCTCCCGCTCGCTCACTCACTCATTTACCCTCTCTCTCTCTACCTACACCTACTTCCCCACCTCTCTCTATCTCTTTACCGGCGTACATTTACATCGCCACCATCGTCATCGTCTTCGTCCTCGTGATCGTCGTCGTCGTCGTCGTCGTCGTCGTCGTCGTCGTCGTCGTCGTCGTCGTCGTCGTCGTCGTCGTCGTCGTCGTCGTCGTCGTCGTCGTCGTCGTCGTCGTCGTCGTCGTCGTCGTCGTCGTCGTCGTCGTCGTCGTCGTCGTCGTCGTCGTCGTCGTCGTCGTCGTCGTCGTCGTCGTCGTCGTCGTCGTCGTCGTCGTCGTCGTCGTCGTCGTCGTCGTCGTCGTCGTCGTCGTCGTCGTCGTCGTCGTCGTCGTCGTCGTCGTCGTCGTCGTCGTCGTCGTCGTCGTCGTCGTCGTCGTCGTCGTCGTCGTCGTATCCGTCGTCTTCGTCCTCGTGATCGTCGTCGTCGTCTTCATCGTCATCGTCGTCGTCGTATCCGTCGTCGGCTGCAATACTCTAACACGATTACGCTCGCCTCTCTGCTTTTTTCCGTCGCTCGTCTCTTTCTCACCTCCGCGTGTATATCCTTGTGTCTGAACTTTCAACGGAGGACGAGGAAAAGCAGTTATCTGTGGGCGCGCAACTCCTCCATCCATCTCGTATCTTTTAACTCTTTCCTTTTTCCTTCCGCCTCCCTCGCCCCACCCGCACTCGCTCATTCTTTCGCACACGCGCGCAGAAAACTCGATACGCGGTGTTGAGTCGCTCCCTCCAAGTTATTTTTAATAACGAAGTAAAGCGATAAGAAACATAACGCCGGCGAGCTACATTCTCTCTCTCTCTCTCTCTCTCTCTCTCCTGCGCTCTATCTCTGTTTACCGGCTCCCTGCGAAGACCAACAGAATTAAACAGTGCGTGCTCGGGAAAGCTTTGTAATCCCGCGCGGTTAAGTGCTCGTTTCATGAACGGTGGTTCGAAACTTTCGAGGAGGTATCTCTCTCTCTCTCTCTCTCTCCTTCTCTCTCTGTTTCTCTGTCTCTCCATCCTCTTGTTACCTTATACGAGTGCGTCTGTCGGTGGTGCTCTTTATTTTGTGTGCCATGTGTTTTAGTAATTTCAACGACCTTTATCGACACAATAACGGTTTATTATAAGCGCGCATTCCTTAAAGAGATGCGATTAAGTAATTCGCAAGAGCGGATGATCGTTAAAAGGAGCTTTTTGATACGCAAATGTTCATCCTCAATCCCAAATATCACACAACAATTTTGTAGTTGCGAACAATGTGGATATTAAGGACTCCCGAGACAGGAGACTGTGCTCGCTCCCAACTGCTTTCAATTGCTGGAAAGTTTCGATATCATTTACTAATAAACTAAATCCTTACTTTCGTGTACTTTAGGAATTCACCGATAGTCACTGCGCAACGACAACTATCGGCTTTTAATGCAAACGACAAATAATCTTCATATATATGCTTGCGCAAAATAATATTTTATCCTTTCCCTCGAAAATAACAATTACGCGAAATGAGAAACAATATAATTACCATAAATTTTTAAAGGAAGCTAGACTTTTTTTTCCTTTTAGACGGCATTCCATTCATTACCAAATATAATGGAAAATCGAAAAACAATAAAAGCATTCGATTTCACCGAACGCTCTGCTAAGCTTTTCTCTCCAAAGACTCGAGTATTAATCTTACTGCAGAATCATTTGGAAGGCAAGTAAGTAGTACCCGCCTACCGACATTCCACCATCTCGTGAATAATTTACTTTCGATCAATGACAGAATCAATGTCGTTGGCTCGGTATCTTCACTACTTGTTCATCCGAGTTTTACGATTTAAATGCAGGCCCCGGATCTCACGGGCCGTGTGTGCAACGTCGACGTGATGCGCGCGATTAATCCGACATAGTAGTCCTCGACCCTTCGCCCCCCCCCCCACAAACCCCTCCCCGAGCACCCAGCCCACCCGTCACCGTTTCACCACCACATCGTCACACGCCACCGCAAAACTTTACTTCTACTCCAGAGAGAACGAGAGAAATCTACGGGGACGACGGTGGATAAGAGCCGCGGCAGACGCCGGCAAATTCCTCCCCGCCACTCTGTTTCCGCCACTTCTTATCGGGTCTGGCGGGAGTGAGAAAAGCGGATTTTTCACCGTCGTCGCTAGGAAGCAAGCCACCGAAGGAAAAAAGAGAGAAGGCGAGCGAGCTCGTGCACTCGTACTCCTGTCGCCCCGAGCCGACAGCACTTTCGCAAGGGCGACACAAAGGCGGGAATTTCTTGAGATTCAAAGAGAGCCAAGCGAACGAGAGAAGAAACTCGCTCTTCAACCCCTTCGACCCTTGCGATCTTCTCTCACCCACTCACACACACACACACACGCGCGCGCGCACGCACTCTCTCTCTCTCTCTCTCTCTCTCTCTCTATATATATATATATATCTGCTTGTCCAAGGCCAAAAGAATTATTATGATTATTATTATTATTATTACTACTCGTTAGTCTTCTGAAATATCATCGCTTGATGCTTTTCAGCTTTTTCGGTCAAGCCTCCCGCGCGTTCCGCTTCGTTCTTAAAACCACTCTGTAATATTGTACTCTGTGTTGTATTTCTAATGTTTCTTCGTATTCGTCGGTTATTTCATGACGAGTAATTCACTTCGTGCACTTGAAAATCCTACGATTGTGCATCGATATTGAATCGAGAGCGAATACAATTGCAATTACGGATAAAAGTCCGTTAGTTTCCAATCACTCGCTAGCAAATTATCTCGCTATACATGACCTTAATAATAATTATCAACTTAATCGTTTGCTCGATCGATGATTATTTAACAATTATCAATCATAATGGAGTAAAATGTCGTCAAAATTCGGCGGCTTGGCAATAATTACGGGAATCAAAAGGAGCTTTTTCCGTCGCTTTTGAAGAAGGCGATAGTCCGCCATCCTTGCATTTTTAATTCTTTTTTATCCACGCAGGTATTCACGCTCATGTGCTCAAAATACACATCGACCAAGCTTGGCACCCTCCTCCACGCCGTTGTAATTCCGCTAAAGGACTCGGTTGGAAATTTCGAGCTCCCTCACCGCTGAGCCGCACGCATACACACGTGCTTTTACCCCCAACCCCTTCTCTATTATCATCGACCGACGACTACCACCCGCAACCACATTCGAGCCTCGGTTTTTTGCGAGCCCCCGACTTTCTAACGCGTCGTTCACCGCTGCGTCTCATTTCGCATGATGTATTATTCTGACGCGGGCGTCGCGCAGCTTTAATTGACCCTGCCTTGATTTTCTTTTGAGTACTCTCATCAGAGAAAAAGTGAGTGAAACCAGCCGAGGAGGTTGGGAATGAGGGAGGAAGGGATGGAGAGAGAGAGAGAGAGAGAGAGAAAGAGAATAAAGAGCAGAGAACGAGTAGAGAAAGAAGAGTGTGGGTGTGATATGTGGTGGGGTGGAGGCAATCCGCAGGGGAGAATGAGAGTGGAAGAACGTTGCGCGACAAATGTCTTGTACGAAGGTACTGGATATGATGACATATACCACCGCGTGTAACACACATATAACGAAGAAAGGGAGAAGAAACCCATCTTCTTTCCTTTTCCTTGGCGTATTTTTGTTTTTTTCAGTCAAAGAAAGCACGCATTACTTAATAAAGGAGATACGTGTGTCCCCCTTCCGTACGTTATATTTCCCCAGTTTTTGCTCAGGTGCACAAGTGCCAATATACAGTGTAAAGACATATTATATGGCGTCGCTCCGACACTTGACAAGCCAATATGCGCATAAATGCAATAACGATTGTAACAGTAATGAGGAGCGCTCAGCTGGAGAGTTACGAGAAGCCATTTAGCCATTATAGTCGCGAATACAGGAGACATCAGAGTGAAAGAAGATGCAGTTCGGATTTCAATGTCCATTACCGTGTGAACGAGACAACACGAGATAGAGAAAAAACGATGGGGAGTTGAGTTGGGCGTGATGGGGGAGGGGCGGGGGGGAGTAGCGAGCGAGTGAGTGATAGTTTAATGAAAATGGAGATAGGTAGTTTTAACGTGCCGTGACACAAAACCCTTTTAGTTTAGCATTATTCCTTGTGATTCGGTTCTATTCATTTTGTTTTCTCGGACTGCACTCACACCTTTGACCGAGTGCGGGTTGTTCATAGACAAATGATAAAAGTGGAAATTATACATTCTAAACTCGGTCGGGATGATGGTTGTCATCCAAGTTGAAATACTTCAACCCTACGTGTTCGTTTTTCTCATTTTTTTTTCAATTAATAATAATAATAATAATAATTAAACTGTTGTAATGAGATTAAATTTAATTAGCCGCTGCTTTATAATATAGTACTAAATATTACTATGATAGTTACATATTACAATGGAAAAATACCGTAGCATTACTAATTGCCCACGTTATAGAAATTTATTAGAACTTACAAGCTAGAATTATAATTTTTTGACTGAATGTAGAAACAATTTGTGCCTGCAGACTGTGAAATATTTAAATTTCAATTCCCATCAAATATACATAGTTTAGAACTAAAATGAAGAAATTTTACTTCGTTACTTCTCTCATTGTGCAGATTAAATTGAGATAATGACTAAATTATACTTTATTGTGAATTCAGTTAAAATATATATATATATATATATCACAACATTAAAGTTTAAAGAAACTGACTGTATGTTAGTTTTCCATGTATGTTAAGAATGTACAATTATCGCATTATTACTGTCCTCTACTTATGTGTAGGAACGAATGCAAACGTAAAAAGAATATTCAGTTT